GTAGTTTGCCTCTTCTATGGGACAGGTATCTTCAACTACATGAGGCTGGGCTCAGAGGAGGCTTCAGATAAGGATAAAGGGGTTGGAGTTTTCAACACTGTCATCAACCCCATGCTGAACCCACTCATTTATAGCCTCAGAAACCCTGATGTTCAGGGTGCTCTATGGAAAGTCCTCATGGGGAGGCAATCCCTGACCTGAGGGGTGATAGGTTTCCTCCTTTCCTGCCCTTTTTTTTGGACTAGAAAATCAAGAAAAAATGTCTATAGGTTTTTTTTTCATTTTATTTTCCTATCTTCTGGATCCTGAAAGTTTGTGTTAAGTGCTTATCCTACAAAGAAAATTTACCTAGTATATCCATATATTCTTTCAACACTTATTTATTAAATTACTTCTATGATGTAGACAACCTTATAGGTCACTGGCTATAGAGGAGTGAAAAAAATACACAGAAGTCTTTGCATTCATGCAGCTCACATCCTAATAAAGGAGAACAAAATACATGAAACATCCTTTATGTAGCATCATATATGATATACCACATGATAAGAAAAGAACAAATAAGATAGCAGGATATGTAGTTATGTTCTGCTAATCCAGCTTCCTGGGCATGTTGCTACCTTGTTTTTTCTTTGCTCACTTTTTGGCAAGAGTTGAAGTCTTGGAGCCCTGTAGGCCTGTGCAACAATGTCCTACAGGGAAGGGCAATTTGGTTAATCACAACCTAAGTCCCCAAGAATATCACTTTAAAATTTCCTTCTGGTGAGATCACGAGAGTCCTTCCAGATCAGACTGCAGTGTCAACATTTTTCATTCTACTGCCCGCCTTTCACCAAAAGAAAATCATTCCTTCTCTTCACTATGATGCAAGAACCCCACAAGGTATTTTGTGAAAAACAGGTTCTACAGAGGGAAAGAACCCACTAGCTAAAGTCTAAATTGATGTATATGTGCCATATCTTAGTATCAAAAAGGAATATTCCATCTCCATTCCCTGCCATGTTTTTCCCTTGTTTGGTGCATCACTTTCTTCAGATACATGACAAAGCCTCTGAAAGGCTGCATGTTTATACTCCAAACATGTCCTCAGAAATTTTAAAGTTGAATATCTAGTATGACATTGTCTTCTAATT